TAATCTATTTTTCATTTTACAGATTTTTACTTATAATGTAGTTCAAAATTGATGTTTAAAAACTTATAATATATCGTAAATTAATCCCAATAAGAAAAGTTAATTAATTTTCTAGATTATTTCTAAAAATAAAATTATATTTTTTCAAATTTTTGAATTTAATGTATTTAGATATTTAAAATTATACATGAAATGATATTATAAATTAATATAATATAAAATAATTAATATAATATAAAATAATATAATATGAAATATAAAAATAAAATATAATAAATGTATATAATATTAACAAGTGTTTTATAAAGTTGAAGATGTACTAACTATATTTCTTTACATTAAAAAATAAAATACGTTGTAATTTTGAAAAAATGCTAAAAATATACTTAACTAAATTTTATATAATAATACATCAAGAATAATAAGAAAAGAATAAAAATATCATGAAAATCAATTTACTAAGTGTCGGACATCACTTCAAGGATAAACTAGTAGAATTGAAGATTAGCGCCATCTCTGAAGGCCTTTCACATTCCAGAGATAATAATTTTTTAAATTTATTAACTCTTATGATAAATTTATCTTGATTTTTCAAAATTTTCTAATCTCTCTACTATTTAAATTATTTTCAATAAACTATTTTCATTATAATATTTATAGTACTTTGTTCAGATTTAATCAATTTTAATGTCAAATATTCTTTTGTGTTTTAGTTTTTTCTTTTATTGATTTTTGTGTTGTTCTCTTTTTTCTTTTGTTTTAATCTCAAATTCATTTATTTTTTTTAAGGTTAATTTAATTTTAACTCTTGTGTTTCAATTATCTTAAATTTAGTAAGTTTTATATTATTTTTTTTTTTATTTTTTGAATTTTCATGAATTGATTTAAATTTTTTGTTAAATTTCTCTTTTGTGTTTTACTTTTATTTAANCGTTCGTTTATTTGCGCTGCCGTTCGGAAAGATTCGGTGACCTTCGGCAGGCTACGGCTGTTCTCGGCAGCACTCGTAACCGGCATCCTCGAGGAGGCGACGCACGACAGATGCCTCGAGGATCAGTGACAGAATGTTATGTCGAAATCAGGTGAAATTTAGTTGATTCGTGTGTGATTGTGTGAAAAAGCTCGGACATATATCATGCCGATCACGTGCCTACATATTCTTAGTAAAATCGGATAAGTGTACTTCATTGCAAAACAGGAGAATTTAAGGTAAAGATGTGTAGGATTTAATGAAAATAATATACGAATAGTTTTTTAATTAAAAATTATTGTATACGATAGTTTTTTAAATATTGAAAATCTTTAATTTTAACTAAATATTTGATTTTTATGTCTTATGTGATGAAAATATAAAATAAATAGGCGCCTAATATACGTCTATAAAAAAAAAAGAAAATTGAATTACGCGCTCTTACAATGATGTAATAAGGATGCATTTGATTGGTAATTTCTTACGCTCACAATCAAATTATAACGGGTATATAGCAATTTTTTAAATGAGCAACGGTATAGAAAAAGGCATACGTAAAGTATGTCGCGGACTTATTTCAACACGACCTACTACGTCTACCGGACGATGAATCAGTCATTCTTCAAAGACGTTTTCATCGAAGGTCTGGTTGCCTTTGTAAAATCATCCATTGTTTACTCCAAACATAGCGATTGCATATTGAATAACATTGCAATAACGATTGAAAGGTGCTAATATGAAAAATCGATGATTATATCACATTTATATTAATCTAACTTGTATATATGTAATGTAATGAAATTTATCAAAGCATCGATATTCGTTATCTTTAAATAGTATGAGTAATTATTACATGATTTGTAATAAGATAGCCTGATGCAATCAATGAAGGTTGTTTAAACAATGACACAATTCTACGCTTGTGATCGTAAGAACTTCTATGTATGCATCCTTGACTTACGAAACGAGAAATTTTTATTCTTTTGTGCTGTTGAAAAATTATCTTTAAATTAAAGCTCAGATATTTTGTTAAAAATAAATGAGACTTTTTGTCATTATTATTAATGATTTTTAAACAAATCATAATATTATAATATTTACGAATTTTGATAAAAGAACATACAAAATCAAGAAAAATGTGATTACGTATACTTCTTGTGTGCAATAATTATGGATCTCTATTCGCCCGTTACATCGTAACACCGGAGAAAGTATATTTCTGAGTTATTATTGAAAAAGAGAATGCAACGTTGACGTCACTTGAGAAAAAATTCGAATCTGTATTCTTTTATACTGATATTCGAAATTCATGGAATAGAATTAAGGAAAAAATATTTACAAAAAGGAAGCTGAAATAACGATAATTGAGATCAACTTTGCTGACCTCTGCATTTATTTTTGAAAAGAATTCAATGAATGCAGGATATATTAAAGAAAATAACTGTACCAACATAAGGTATATCTCATTATGTGGCAACCAGTTCATTTGTTGACCTCATATCGTACACCACCATGGACCGAAAAACCGGACAACTTGGTCAAGAACGGAGAAAGTCGCAGCATACTTTTCCATCACCTCCGTGAACTACTTTAAAACTCAAATTGAACGCGATCGTGGGTGTCAAATTTTAAAAGATACGTGCATATCTATAAGTTTTGACGATAAAGAAGATTGTGATATTGAATTTAAGAAGAGGAAGATTTAAAATATGTTCCATATATATTTTCTAACACTGACGTCCTGAACAATTTTTGTCCTAATAACCTAACCTAACCTAACCAAACGAGTATGATTGACTCGAATATTATAAGCTTCTTAAGAATTCATTTATCTTTTAGCAATTTATTGTACATTAACCGTTAAATTTCAATTCATGTAATTGAATTCAATTGAATTGCATGAATAAATCAATATTCTCTTTTTTTTCTTTCATAATCGATGTGTTACGATTAGTTACACGAAGCCGCAACGTTTGCTCGTTTATTAATCATTGGCATTCAGGACACAGACATTTCATCAAATTGCGCTTTCTAAATATATATTACATTAAATATCATCCTCATGATTATCGGTATTCGCGGAATACGAATAATTCATTGGGATTGGGAAAATTGTCGATTTCGACATGTTCGGTGTCACGTGTACCGGAACCGGAATTTGCATACCATCTTAAATTGCTATGTCGTAATCTTGAACATTTAGAGAGGCTATACGATGCCATACTTGCTAGTTATATTATACTAGTTACGTAACCGCATAAATAAGTTTGAAACAATGTGATATCTCAACCAATTAATTCTTTTATAATTGAAGTAATATCCTCGTATCTTTCATTATGATATACGTAATGATTATAATTTTTGCAAAGAATACTAATATATGTATACTTTATATTCAAATTGAAACACAAAAAATATTTTTGAAACTATTCAGTATCTAAAAACGTTTTATTATAGATCTATTTGTTAAATAATTTTGAGTATTTTTTTTAATAAGTCGATTTAGAAAATAAATTAAATTTAATTTTCTTATTGTTAGATGAAATCAATTTTTAACGCGACTAATACATTTATAAAATATTTTTTTTTAGAAATTAGAATTTTTATTGAATATTTTATTTTATTTTAATTTGTATTATATTATAGAATAATTGAAATTAAAATATAAAATCAACCAAATGTAGATATACGATAACTAACCAATCTTAAGTTACTCGTAAACTGCTGATTGTAGAGAAAAGATGTTCAAACATAACTTGCATAATTCTCAAGGACAAGCAAGATAATTTTATGTCTTTAAATACATCATCTTTTTACCGAGTTATGATAAGCATTTTTTTAAAATAAACATTCATCATTTAACTTTTAAATTAGCAAAAAAATATAACATTTTTGAAAATATTTTATTATCGTTGTTATAAATACAACCGTTGTTATCTATATAACCTGTTATGTTTTACTAGAATTTTATCTTTCTAGTGCAGACATAAACTGATAAAATTTTTACACTCGTATATAACATAAAGAGCTACTGCTTTAACGATAAAAATTTTAAAACAAAAAATAAAAATGTTTCGATTTTACGATCTGATACATTACGTCAATCTACAGATATTATACATTTATTTCTCACGAAAATTCAAATTATTGCAATTTATATACTTCGATTCTAACCTCGAATTAGTAGTTTCTTCGATACAAATTTTTTTTCTGACACCAGAAATTACAAGATACGTCACAAAATTCGAAGAAAAAAAATATTTCGATCGATTAATAGGCAAATAGATTTATCGATTTAGCGGATGGAAATCATCTCAAGATCGGTCGAAAAGATGGTACGTCGAATCACTTGAGGAATTCCAAACAGTGGAGATTACTTTTCACTCCGTGATGAAACGAAGAAAACGGCGAAGCGTGAATGCATTTCTCGCGGCACATCGGCCACCGTATAATTACACCTTGTACAGAGCCGCGAAAATTTGCTGCTTCCTGCGATCTTCTGCCTCCATAAATTCACCGCGCTGGCTGCCAGCTTTATTACACTACTGACAACCTTTTCGAGAGCCATCAAAGCCGCAACAGTTCTAGTTGAACGCGAAACAAAACCATTTTCCTTCGTTCTGTTATTACGTTTCACTGTTGTTTTAGAGAGATGAGACTTCTATAGGCGGGCTCCTATCCCGCGTTGAACTGCCATTTACTTTCGAATAAACGCTTCTTTAACTAGCACGCGATAGGCGTTCTTTTCTTCTTAAAACGCTTCTCTTTGAACGTGGAATGATAGGGAGCTGAATTGTTGCTAACGTTGTTGGAACGTCATAAATTTTACAACGTGAAAGGAAAGAAAGATAATATTTGAGAACATGCGTGTAAAAATGAATGATTCATAGTTAGAGCAATATTTTTTAAAAAAAATATTTACACGAAAATATTCGTATTATTTTTTTTTTTTTTATATTGCAAAATCAATTTTTGATTTTATGGGTTATCCATTATTTTTTAACGATAGTTTTCCAGATATTAACAAAGTTTAAAGGTTTAATAAATCGATTTCAGGAATTTGTGAAGCGAGATAAACGCTGTTGATGCAAACTAACTGTCAAAGTTTTTATACGTTAATTTATACGTGTATTGGGATATTTCATGAAGTGAAGATAATTTCACCTTTGTTGTATCGGTATATCCCGTCGAAACTTTATAGTTAAATAAAGAACTGAAACGCGTTCGATCCATATTTGATCACTTACCGTTTTGCAATGTTTATAAAATATTTCGAACCGTGTGAAAAATCGTGTTAGAATTCGATACAAATATTTTTTATAAACTCTTTCTTTTTTTCAAGTACAAATATTTTGATTATTAAATTAAATTTTAATAAATCCTTTCGCCTTTCACTTTTCGAATAAAATTGTATTAGAATTCGATACATATATTTTTTTATAAAATCCTTTTTTTCAAGTACAAATATTTTGATTACTAAATTAAATTTTAATAAACTCTCTTGCTTTTTGCTCTTCGAATAAAATCGTATTAGAATTCGATACAAATATCTTTTATAAACTCTTTCTTTTTCCAAATACAAATATTTTGATTATTTATTATTGATTATTATTTGATTATTAAATTAAATTTTAATAAACCCTCTTGCTTTTTGCTCTTCGAATAAAATCGTATTAGAATTCGATACATGTATTTTTTTATAAACTCCTTTTTTTTTTCAAGTACAAATATTTTGATTACTAAATTAAATTTTAATAAACTTTCTTGCTTTTTGCTCTTCGAATAAAATCGTATTAGAATTCGATACGAATATTTTTTATATAAATTCTTTTTTTTTTTAAATATTTGGCTAAAATATATATAACAATACATTAAATTTTAATAAATCCTCCTGTCTTTTCGAATAAAACACGATGTACCAATGACAATAGCGTGTTGTTTTATCAATAAAATCGAATATTGTTTATCAATGTCAATCGTTCGCCAAGTGTCCTTGAAATGAAACGTTCACGAAATGTCCGGAAGTGGAAACTCCCACCATAAATTTCCTTGCCGCGATTCCGTTATCTTGAAATGTACTTTAATTGAAAAGACGCGTTCTCGTTCTCGTTCTCGTCGCGATTAGCATTTCGTGATTTAATTGCACACTCGAACCTTGTGATACGATTTTACATTGCACCATGGGCATTCGATAATATTGAATCAGTCAACGAACAAATGTTTTTCTGCTCCTTTAAATCCTTTTTTATTTTTATTTTATTTTTTATTATTATTATTTTTTTTATTATTATTATTATTTATTATTTTTATTATTATTATTTATTTTTTTTATTATTATTATTATTTATTATTTTTATTATTATTTTTTATTATTATTATTATTTATTACT